GTTCCAGTTACTTATTAGATGCATAATTCGAGCGGCTCGCCAAGTACAACAACGCTTAGTGTTTCGACATCAGAGCTGCTTTCAAACCCACCACACTCCCAAAACTGCGGGCCCGTTCTTCGCGTTCTGGGGAAGGATACCTTTCAGTGGCTTGGCTTAAAGCTCTTGTCTGTGATAGAAATTTCTAAAGTTCGTATTCGATATTTTGTATACTCCCACACACCCATGTACACAGCCAATATTATTCAAAACACAACAACCTGGCACTAGTTTACAGAATAATCTACTATGTACTAAGCTTTATTAGGCTTTTATGCGCGGTTTTATGTTTAGGGCATACGGGCCCAAACGAAGACATAACATGGGGAGGGAGGAAGGGGTGTGTCAATTCGTGTGCCTTCGAACGCAGTCCCGAACGTCATTACAATTACCCCTTTAATATATTTAGAACATACGGCGTAGATTGTGCTCTGTACGATACAACGCCCCAACTGAATTGCACGAACGTTTATGACAAGAGATAGCAACGTGTATGTGAGACTCTTTCGCATATACGTTGAACCAATCGTGAACTATGCAAGCTTAGTATGCGACACTCAGTCGACGTAATCATCAAAGGTATAACGCTTCTAGAGAGAGTTTCGAGCAAAAATGCTAGAACAGTAGCATCTTTATACTATTGTAACAAGATTACTCCTAATAATACTCATAAAGATAGCAAAAACAGAACTACAAATGGGTCGGAAGGCTGTTTAATAGAACGATACGTGAACGATCTTTTCCCTGGAGGCTATTGTGCATGTTTGAAGTACTAACGGCCGCACAAGTACCGCTTCTGTAAAACTACTAAACCTTTTTAGTAAAGTACGACTGTATATAAATATAAAGTTCTCCTTAAGGTCGGATAAAAATCAAAATAAGAGAAAAAAAAACATTCGACGATAGCCGCGTTCTATTTTTTAATTGTGCATAATGTGTAACATTGCATGCAGCAATAATGGTGCATTAGACAATTCGTTCTCTCCATCTAACATGACTATTCCATGGAGTGCTAATTAAAGGTCAGCAGAATAGGATTGTTACTGTACCACAGAGGGCGTCTAGCAAAAACAGATCTGAGACTATAAAGACACGCCGTCGTCGAGGCGGACAATAATATATAACAAGTCATTGTTGTATATATATATATATATATGTTTACCTAAATAGTAACAGAACTAATATGTTCGTACGACTTCTAAGGCCCGAGCTCAAGAACTCATTATTTAATATCATTACCTATAAAATGGATCAGAAGCACTCTACAAGGCCGGACCGAATTAGCGGACCCAGCTCATCAAACGGCAGACATATGAGAGATCTTTCGCCGTCCAGCAAAATGGGTGATCTATTTACTCATTGTATCTACTTCGACAGTTAATCGATGAATCACCTTATACTCAATAGTACGTTACAGACCACGATAGAACGAATATATACTTTCAATAGCGATTATGCACAGCCCGACCGCTTTTAATAAATGCTATTTTTTCTTTGCCCTACAACTTGGAAGCTTGCTATCGAACGTAGAAGACTTTCTGACATACAAAATCCTATATACCTATTTTACCCTATATGTCATTGGCAAGGTTTGAACTACCGTCGCCCGGTCTTTCTACTTACATCCGGTTAGACACGAGACATTTGCTACATATAATTAGTTAGTGTTGCGCTGTTTCTGTAAAGTCTACCTGATCGTGATCTTGCTTTTTGTGGGTGTGTCTGTACTTATTTTTAGACATATCAACCGTAAGGAATATCGGTTTCTTTAGTAACGGTCCATTCAGCTTGACTCGAATATTTGTTCATTTAGTTAAGAGAATATTATAAGTTCAGGAAAAATACTGTACCAGGACTCTGTGGCCAAGTTCGTTTATTAGCGAATATAATGTAGGACCTACATTAAAGTAATTCAATGTAGGTCCTACATCTGGTCAATTGAAAAGCCATTTAAACTATACAAAATCTGTAAAGTTTTATCAAGTTGTATCAAAATCAAATTGAGGCATCTCATCATTTGCCTCTATCGATTAGAGCGCTAGTAACGACCTTACGTTATTTCCAAAGAAAGGTGGAGTCTATCGACAGTCCGTAGTCAGGCTTATTCGGTCCACCTTTGCAAGAATTTTCTGGTCACACGCAGATATACACAAGATAACGGACGCGTCTGTGACAGGATAAACAAGGTGTAATGCACGATTATATTTTCACACAAAAGCTAAGTTTGACCTTCACGACATTGTACTGCATATAGTTCTCCAACAACCTCATTCACTATACAACATATAGTGAAATAGCTGATGGTAACGAAGACCTCATTTACCTGACCCCCTGCGATTGTCTCACTCAGACAGACAAAGCCCACTGGACAACGTAGTAGTGAGAGCGGATAAGAGGGCAAAAGTCAAGCGAAGTATATCCATGGTATTTTGTGTGGCCATTTGCCGTGTTTCTTTCTGGACCGGCAACTACTTTATTAAAAATATGTTTTCATGGCTCCTTTCTGCATATAGACGGTATGCTCACAGATTCGTCGCCAATAATATCGTTCTATTCGAGATTAAATAATAGAAGTTGCTGAAGCTATGAAGTGGTAAAAGGACGACAATGAGTGCGTAAGGGCCTACACTTTAGACGCGCTTTGGCCTTTGGCGTCTTTCAAAGGACCTAACTATATACGGCTTGTGATAGATTTGAGGGTAACAGAGACGTCAGAGGTTTTTTCTTCGAGTCTGGAAGTGTCAACGTTAGTTATAATTGCATATATTGCCACGAATACTTGTACATTTATTTTTACTGTAGCTTTTGTATCAATAACTTTACTTACGTACGCAATTGATGCTGTCACAGCATATGTCATTTGGGGGGCTTTAAGCAGCAGAGAATTCTAGTCCCCTTATAGTAGAAGCTTCGCTGTTTAAGCAATAGAGTAAGATATGGGCACATTTCTTAAGGACGTATATCATTTGTATCCGCCTCACTAACGCTGTTTTTCCTCATATACACTAACCCTGGCCTGCCTAGCAGAAGTGTTTCGGGTCTGCTTTACGGCATGTTTTACCGTCGGTCAATTGTTATATCTAATGTCGTCTGTTTTATTGACCTTGGTTTAGATATAATAATAAATCGCCAAGTTTTATGGATCGTTTTTTCAAAGTTTTTATTTATTTTCTTACAAGTACAGTGGAGTGATGTGCATCGTGCGGCAGCAGATTACATGAAACGCCCCTTTTAGGCTATCGTCGAGCTTTAACAGTTTAAGTTTCCAACCGGGTAAACATACTTGTCTTACTGAAAAGGTATACACTCTTCAACACCTACTTAGTTTTACTCAAGATGAGGTTTCGAAGAAATAATATATCCTAACAAACTCGATCTTAGCCGTAATTTCATTCAGAAAAGACGCGGCGACACCTAGCGGAGAAACGCCCACTTTTTATTACTAGATGAACAACGTCCAAAGCCGTTGCTAGGATGCCTCTCAAACGTATTGTCTTTTTTATTCGGTAAAACTTGTGGCATACATCTCTAATCAGCTTTATGCGTCACTTCCACCGTCAGACACAAGCTATGGCTATTACAGATAGTATTACGTACCTTCTACACAGAATACACGTGAAGGGAGAAAATAAAAGCAAATGACGCATCGACCGCTACAACCAATGGTCCTAGGAAGTCAAGGTTTAACTATTAATCTATTACCGCTGAATGGGGTGGTCGGACGTGTCGAAAGGACGCACTTGATCATCAACAAGGATTGAGCCGACAACGACAAGTGATCCTGCAAAGGAAATGGCTGTGATGACGATGATGGCGGTACAAAATGACTCTGTATCCCACGCAATAAACAGCTATAGTTTTTCAATGTCAAACTAAAGTGTAACTTTAAAAAACACCAGCCGTATTGTTCTACACTTCGTACGTGACAATTAAGGACACAAATGTTCAAGCTGAATATGTCTTCTTAGCTAAATATCTATCAAGCTATGAGCTTGTATATGGTAGCTGGAAAAATCAGAACTTAACTAGGGTTTTTTCGACATGTTTCGGTTAGTTTACCTTTCGATGGTCATCCACTAATCCAGCACAGGGTAAATAAGACATGTACCGGTCCATTTAAAAACAGGTCGGGTAAATTTAGAAGGTTCAGAGCGCCGTTAAGCATCAGCTTTTGCAGACACAGGCCCAAGGTCGCAAGGCACGCCATACAAAAATACATAAAGACAAGTCGTTGAGGCAATTGGAATATCAGTATCGTATTTATCTACCAAACAAATGCATATATATCCGTCTGCCAGTTCGGTAACAAACCCCCTCGTTACAAATCTTCAAGACATTATAAAGACAGAGAGCCAACTAACGAAGTCAAGCACTCCCATTTGGCTAATTAATTTTTCTAGCCGCAAACGTTTCATTTCAGAAACTCGAATTTTTCGCACTGATAGTCCTCTTGATAAAAATAAATAGAGCCCATGCAGTGGATAATAGATTTCCCATAACAAGATATAACATCAGTTTATTGAGCTATTGCGTCGCGATTCATTGATTCTCTCCAAATGGCAAACTATGTCTGACCGCGTCCTATGCGTTCTAGTTCACTCAGCGTAATCACACAGAAACTGAAGTTAGCAACACAATAAGGTTTATGTTACTAAAATCGCAAAAGACGTTCGTAATCAAAAATTAAGATAAAGCACCTAGTTTATATCAACATGGTTGTAGGATAAGCCTTGCATTTTACTATGTCAGACGCGACACCCGAATCGCGCGTCTTCTGCCTCACTCATGGCCGGCAATGTGGCCTCGGTTTGCGGCGGCGACTTGTTTCATCCTTTCCTTTATCGTTGGGGCCATCCCCCCTGTCTTATCTTCTTTATATCCGTGCGTTTCTTTTTCTTGTGTTGTTCTACCGCCAGACGTGTAGCTTCCCTCTGCCCAGTTGCGACGGGAGCGTATAATACTTCTTAGCTTGTAGCGCGGCTCATGTCAAGCTTCTTCCTCGCGCCAATGGCTGGTGGTTCGTTGTAGTCGCGGGCCAAAACGACGCTTTGATCCGCAGTGATTTACGGTGAACTGAACTTATCGTATGCTTTTACACGCACCGTCAGCATTGAGACGTATATCAGTCACACTTCTGCTTCTTCGTTCCCTACTAACGGCTTTGATGATGGCAATGACGTAGAGGGTCATCTATTCGAAACAACAACTGAGTGACCTTGACCGTGGCCAACTTGAAAACCGCTACACAGGAACTTTCGCTTGAATCAAACTTAGAGCTGTTTACACGTAATTCACAATTAAAGGAAATATAAGTTATTTAACAAACTTCAACGTTCTTATAAAGTGAATTACAAACCCTCTGACGGTGATTGCTGCTCACCTAACGAAGCTAATATAATGAGTGTTACAAATTTCTACTCCTATATATGGTCACTCCGCGACCCTAGAACGGAAGGCTGGGGTCTTACAGCTGATGCCAAATTCGTGTTTCCCGTCTTAGCTTTATACCTTTATGTTGTAAAGGTAGCTGGACCACGTTTCATGAAGCATCGAAAACCGTATCAATTAAAACCTGCCATTTTAGCATACAATTTGTTCATGGTTGCGGCGAATCTCTACTTCTTTTGGAATTATCTTCGAAGGTCCTATGCTGGAGGAGGATATAATATTTTTTGCCAGGTAAGTTTTTTACATCTTGAGAACCTTGATATTAGTTTGGCGACACAATGACAAATAATATTCAGTCTATATTTCACCTCATTATATCGTTCTACTTGATAAAAATCAGATGTTTGAGCATGTCATCGCTATAATGTATCTGCAATTTAAAGATGAACATAATGCGCATATTTCCAATATAGTTTTAGGGGAGGCAACATTGTTTTTATAAGTAAGTTCGCCTCGAGGGTCTGTGCGAAATAATTACTTAATTATTAATTAATTAATAGGAAATCCCCTGATAATGTAAAGTGGATAATTTTGGCTAATTTGAGTTCATTCGAAACTCATCGAACGCCAGAGAAAGAAATTGAGATTCATTTAGAAAGCAGGCGGTAGTACATAATAAACGAAAATAGTGCTAGAAAATTGTACTCAGTGAGTTCTCCATTAGTGCTGTTGAAAAGGGAGTATGTCAAATGTCCCATCGCTTTAAACACGTTACAATAGACTTGTTGAGCAATCGGCTTCGTGAAGCTAGAAAAGAGGCGTCCTTTTATATATTCAAGTAACAGAAACAGATTCTAGTTGAAATGAAAAAGACTTTTGTCGCAAAATTCACTATCTATTTATATAGCCTAAGGAAAGATAAAATGTCTAAATTAAAAATCAATTACAAGCAGATCCACAAATGTAATAATTAGCATAATCTAGTGTATTTTTTCTGTGTATTAGGGCGTCACCTACGGAACGGATAAGAATTCAATGGAGATTCTGGAACTGACCTGGTGGTACGTGATAGTTCGTATTTTAGACTTCATCGATACGCTCTTCTTTCTCCTACGAAAAAAGTACTCGCACATTTCAACGTTGCACGTAGCGCACCATTCACTCGTCGTCTTTTCCGGCTGGCTGTGGCTGACGTTCGGATGTGACGGCCAGGTTCTTCTGGGAATTTGCTTCAATGCGTTCATTCATGTCATCATGTACTCTTACTATGCGCTTTCAGCACTCGGCCCTCGAATTCAGCGTCACCTCTGGTGGAAACCACATTTGACCAAGCTACAGATTTTCCAGTTCGTCTTCCTTACAGCGCACGTCTGTATTCCATTAGTATATGACTGTAACTATCCACGAATCCTAACGCTCATCGCAGCAGCGCAAGGTTTACTTGGTCTGACAATGTTCATCAATTTCTACCTAAACACTTATCGTACCATGCCCGACGCGTCATTCTGTACGCTACAAACAGGCAGCATATATGCAGCAACAGAGAAAATTCTATCTGGTGGTGAAATTCTGCGTGGAGACAGAAAAAGGGCCTAGGACAGAGGGATTGAGAGGCCGCAGTGTTATGCCTGCTATTACAGTTAGAACGAGGTACTGCTAGCTACCTCTTAATACTCAAGGTGGCCTTCTCAGCTGCACAGGTACGTCTTCCCTTGCTTCTCCATCAAAGGCGTACATGACCTCGGCGCCTATATACATTTCGAGTATAAGGGCGGCAAGTATCCGCAGTTTTTCCAGTAACCATGTCCGAAGCACGAACAGATTGTTCGTTTACGTATGGGAAGGCCGACGGTGTCAGCGATATATCGTAATATTCCAGAGGCACCTTCCTCTTTTTGTATTTATGTTTCTTTCTAACTCGTGTAACTCGAATCGACGAGGTCTACTTGTTAAGAAAGGCTTTCCTATAGAGTCAGAACCTGGCGTGAATTAAAGTAACTGATGAAAGATACTTGAAACATATGACGGCGTTGTTTTTACGTTATTAGGAGCATTATTAAAATTTGGTGACAAAAAAGTGAATCACGAAATGTATACATTATAAGTAATCAATATCGACAGAATGTCTATAAATTTAATGGGTTCATTATCGTATTATTCCATAAAGTGTGTTTTGATTATAAGGTCAAAACCAGACCTCCTATATAAAATATAAGTTTTACTTTACTAAGGATATCTTGTCGTCATATAGTTGTTGCCTGCACGTCAACTTGCGTAGAAACGAGCATGACTTCTAGAAATTGTACTGCTCTAAAATAATGTTTACTATGGCTCGTCATAAGCTGCTTACACCGATAAGAAAGCACGTTGATATTTTAGAATCCGTTTTAAGTCAGAATTGTATCAAAGGGAAGAAAAAATAAGTCATTGTACAGTGAGTCGAGATGCCTCACATCGATAGCGAACGTCCCATACACTCTAAATTGTCGGCCTGCAAATTTTTTCCTTGTGGATCTGTTACGTTGCACTACGACGTGAAGTTCGATTCGTTTGTTCGCGATAAGGCGAAGGGCTATTGTAAGTTTTTAAAGTAAAGTGCAAAGTAAGGTTAAAAGAAATCATAATATAGTGCGAAGCATATCGATTTGTCCTGCGGGTGGCAAAGGGGCAATGATCGTTCCAGTATGGCGACAACAGCGACTACGAGAGCTGTTACAACATCGTTGTTGAAAACATGTTGAAAACAACAACAACAATAATAACAATAAGCAACGTACTCCAAGAAGAGCCAACAGTCTGCTCCCGTAACAGACTATACTGTGTTACTGGTTCCCATATACAAGTGGCGGCCGAAATTAAACGAAGTGGAAACTAGACGTGACGCGACGCGACAAACTGAAAGGACTGCAATGCCAAGCCGGTTGTTACCGTGGGGTGCTTTAATGGAGTGACATGCAAGTGCTATATTTATAAAGTGACCCCCTCTGGAAGCAGAACTTCTGAGGATTCATTTGATGCTGGCTCCGTACGACCGAAGACATTATCGCCGACTGCTATGAACTGAGTTGGTGGCAGGTTGCCATCGCGCTCAGCGACAATTGGACATCCGCTCTGATTTATAGGCTAAATCATAACGATATAGATTGAACTTATGAAGCAGTATTGAAGATTTACTACTTACGCTAAATTAATACCAGCCAACAGCCGACGGAAATGGACTATTCAAAAAGATTTGAAACGGCAAAGAAACGAGCGAGCGGATGTAAAAGTTGTCGCAATAAAAGGCCCAAAACACTTCTTTGTAACTTTGAGGTCAGTCAGAAAGCACTGGCGTTTTTCGGCTCATTTGAATATGTTATTTTTTTAAAAAAACCAGGTTCTCTTACTGAAGTTATTGAAGCTAAAATAGTTTCTTACGACCCTTCTCAATCATTAGGACAACGAACGGATTTTTTGGAGGAATGTTTATGAAGGTAATCGGGTATTAAGCGAGCCATATTCGGACTTTTACCCCTTATTTTGCTTCATTTGTTTTCCACGCTGTCCTGTATAGATACGAACAATTCATATCGGAGCACAAAAGAAGGTCCCATTAAAGTCTGTCAGAATCTTCTAGAATTGCTTGTTGTCAAGTGTTACTACTCAGCATGATCACTTACATTGCTACATTTCAGGGTCGTTCTTAGCTCCATGTTTTAAACATGACAAAATTGCCACTCATGAAGTAATAACTTGACCAAGTAACTTGAATTTCAAAGCAAACATGAACATTCAACGTACAGGTACCGACGTCCAAAAGTTATCGAAGCTACATTTTGATCCTTCTAAACCTTTTTCGCATCTAGTTTTTTTTCTAACCCTATAAAACCTGAAAGTCGTTATCGTCGCTTTAGGTACACGCTAACTGACGCAAAATTTCAACAATCTCACAAATATATTGTCTGCCACGCTTAATCAACCCAAATTAGACCGCTTCGATTTCCATAACTAATCACACGGTGTTCTCTGGTCAATGTTATAGACTTTGCAATATTAGTTTTTGGATGTCGGGTGGTAGATCCTACCATTCCTTATCTTGACCCTATGTACAGATATCCCGAGGGACATCGTTGTATGGGGTAGAACTTCTTACCAGTCGGCCAACGTAGAGTCGGACGTAGAGGTGGGCAATAGGCTGTTTTAGGCTTAAGTGAATATGTTAATGTGACATTTTTCAAGTAAATGAATGCCTTTTCAAAACTAAAAATGTATTTTTCATACTCGGTGTTTTTATATTTCGTGTCTGTTGTAAAACGAAAAAATAAGACAGTACTGACGTTATCTGTTTGCTATGTGAGATATATATTATAATTTCCAACGCTAATGAATATGTATTGATGATCTCAGGTATTTTCCTACTGAAAGGTGTATAAAATGTTTGGTAATTAATCAACGATTATGCTCTGCAACGTACCAAGAAATACAGTTGCATAGCAATCCTTTCTCTATATAGATCTTTATCGAATGCTTCATGTATCCTCCTGGTAAGTGCGACATTAACGATGTTCTTTGACTCATCAGTAAATATTATTTATTTAGTTTATTTAAAATTTAGCCTATCATCTAACTTAGTACCGACGCAGTAACAGGCTTCTTTGCTACATCGACAAAGAAATGAAAGGAGAGCATGAGTTGGCAGCATGAGAAGGGGCAGTGTGAGTATCGGCGGTGAACGCCTCTGTCGTATCATACGATCAGGAACCGGTAGCCCAGCCGCAACCCCTTCTGCCTTAGTCGTACATCCCGATTAAGTGTAGATAGGCCGTAACCTTCCCACGGACACGGCGTTGCCGTAGCGGTACAGGCAGCAGCGTTCGTGGTCGCTCTATCGACCCTACAAGGTAAGATTTCAGCTTTCCGACATCGTTCTACCCAGAATTACCTCCTCTTTGGCCGATTTCTCGTTCATCCTCATCGAACTGCTAAAGCTCAACTTGTACAGACGTGCGTCTATGTCCACATCGGGACTCCGTGTTGCCTGCTCTTCCTTTGTTAGGCTATTCGACTATCCAACTCTCCGAGAATAACCGACCGATTGGTATTCGCATCTTCTTTTTTGTCCTCTCCGGCTGAAATGGTATTGCAACTATTCTTGCCGCTTCGTCTATACAGGAAGGCTGGCTCAACCATACCGACCGACCTGCTGACCAGCGAATGTACGCGCTGACCAACAGCAATGCGCGAACACTTGACACGAAACACTGACTGGCCCAGCCCTCCTGCCCCCCTAATCAGACGATCTGCCAAACTTGATGTTCTGTGCTGCTTTTATCACCTCCTCTGTTGCCCTGTAACGGCCAAAGGGATAAACAGCTGTCTACATTATCACTAGGAGAAAGCGAGCTTTCGTTCACCGTAGCTAGTATTTCGGTGCCAGGTTTTACTTTAATGAAAACTAAATAAATGCAGGCATATGAAACGACACTTGGACGCTTTTTGTGCAAAGCAGTTTTATTTACTGTTTTATTTATTACTATATTAGATTCAGTTGTTTAAGCATATTGTAAAATGAAGTGTTTCCTGTGTGCAACAAAGTGACGTTTTATTCTCAATAAAGTACCACTTTATCAAACATAATCGTCGCGATTATTTTGATGTAAGCTAGCAGCCAGTCTGTACGTCGGTTATGGGTATGAAGTCATTGTAAATTTTGGAAAATTGGAGTCTAATTGGCTAAGGCAAATATTCTGAGCATCGCGTGATACATAATATGGTAACTAGAGCCACAAAAATCGGCCATGCGCCTAAGAAATAGTGTTAGTCGCTCTTCCGTCGTCCTGCAAACCTTGCATTATAAATTCAGGCGGCCAGACGTCGTCTCCTGACGTGTAATTCGAAATGCCTCACGCGCTGAATAATAATAGGCAGATCCTATCCTCAACGTGTTAGGCCATGGATGACAACAGCTTGAGTGGACAACACACATTCTCTTTGGGTCTATTCTTATTGCGTTTTCTAGGATTCACGTCACCAAATTACCCGGGTAAAACGTTTGCAAGGTACGCCCAACTACTATAGAATTTTACTATTAATAGTAACCCTTCTACAAATTAAGCTCCCTGTTCACTAAGCAGTTGGTCAGCGTTATATATATATATATATATATGTATAGCGAGCAAAAGAGGGAGAGAATATGGTAATTAAACTCGGATAAACCTTGACAAAGTACCTGTCGTAATAAGCATACGTTAAGTCAGAAGGCCACTTTTTTTTTGGTGAATTTATCATGTTTTTAGAATTTTGGTCAAAAAACCGCTTATTATATGTTCATGCAGGACGAACCTTCCCACGAAATAATAACCAACATTAAGTCCCCGAAATCGAATTGTTTGCGTTACTGTCGCTTTTTTTGCGGCGTTGAAAAAAACATCGATGAACCTATTTTTTTTAATCTAAAAAGCAGCGGCTATCTGAAGAGTAGGATATTGTTTGTCCATCCAGGTAAGTTCCAGTGGTTAATTTTCTTGAGACATTCTGTATCCTCCTGCATCTTTTGTACATATTGGCCGTTTTGAGCCCTTGCATTGGGCCCAGCTAAAAATTTGTATCTGTTAGAATTTGAATGATCCATAATTTGATGAATTGCCTGATGCACAGTTACTGCTATAAGGCTATTTGCAGATTACGGAAGAAATACTCTGAAAATGATTAGCTAGTGGTTTCGATTATGAATTGAAAACGTAAAGTCACGATTAATGTCGGTGGTTATATCGGATAAATATGACCGTCAAAGATAAAACTTCTATGAAATAGGAAAATTTCATTTAAAATCTAGTTTTTGTTTTCCAGAACAGCTGATGAGCAAAAGCTTGCAGCCTATATATCCTGCTATATACTGCTTAGGAAGAATATATATGTACACGTGTCAACACAGACATTCTGGTACTGTACACTTGATTTACATCCCTACATAATACCTGTGTTTTTTGCGTTTAGTTGCGCCATTTTCCACATTTCTGTATATATTTTCTATATATTGAGTAAATATACTTCGGGTTCCTATAAACTGTTTGGCAGGCAATTCTTAGTTGGGCGGTACTCTTGTGTGAAGTGTACACGAAGGTCCATTTTTTATTACTATGGATTATGTTCTCGTAAGAAGACGATATGCCAGGTTCCAATAGGAGCTCTGCACACAAATTTATCTTCTTTTCGTACTGTGCAGTTATCCAGATGACAAGTGGGCCTACGCCTGCGGGCTTGTGATTGCCTCTTAAAATGCGTCCATACGCGACTCGTCAGCATCGAAACGTGTTCAAAAATATCTCAAGAGCCCTAATTTTTCGACGAAAATTATCCATCGAAATGAGACAAAAAATGCTTATCAGTTTTGGATAATTGAAATTTACTGCTGACAGCTGGCTCTAATTAGGGAGTCTGTCATAACTAAAGCTTTCTTCACAAATATGTTTCGATCGAGTTAATACGTACGATCCACTCCAACGTCGAGTATCGGATCTAGGGTCAATTAACAGTTTTTTCGAACATTTTTTTCAATTTACATTGTAATAGAATACGGGATGAGGGTACGATATAATGTTTTGCTTTGGAGGAGAGTTTACGAAACAACAATAATGGCGCAATAGAAATCACGATAGGTTTACCTCTGTTAGTCATAAACAGTGTACTACAGATAACCCCCGTTCTAGTTTTTCGGGTCTACGGATGGTAAGTTTCCCATTTTAGATACTTTTACTGTAGTCATACAAACTATGCACTGTGGACGGCTCCGCTGAGGGTCACTTTGGGGTCAATTTGTACATCGTCTTGGCCGAACACTGGTTTCAACAGATGCGTAACGCAAACAAATATTCCCTTTCAACGAAAAATTGTCTATAGACTTTATTAACTATAACTGTTATCCTACTGCTGAATGCTTACAGCACTTGATGACTTTGATCACCTGTACACTCACGATGTAAAAGGCTTCTACGCCTTCGATGATTTCCTGTCAGTGGGTTCTGAATAACGTCTCCGGCATAGTGTCAAACATTTGCCCCCGCTAGAAGGTCTAGCCAGGGTGGGTTTTGCTGGAAATGATCGAGTTCTCCTCACGGACGTACAGAATGGCGCTGTCAGCATAGGCCAGCGATGAAGAATAGAAAGTTTTTACTATACAAAACTGTGTCATTGTGCAATTTAGTAACGATCTTTTTTCATTGCTACACACATATGCTTTCGTCTATTTTATACATTGCGAGGATAGGATACATTGCACGCTGATCAGTTTTTCGATTATTAAAGTACTATGTACATTTCGCTAATATGTTACTGCGACATTGTGCGTATGCAGTAGCACCCCATCGAGCTCGAATTGATACCGTTTCATCAACATCAAAAGCTGATGTTTCCGATTGATAAACTTCGTGTCTATCTGTTTTGCCACCCATATATTTTCATCGTGAGGCTTGAAAAAATTTTCCAAAGTTCGGCTCACGTCAAGTTAATTCGATAACCTGGCCTTTAAGTAGGCTGTCGTTAAAAATTATGCGTCTACCTGCTGCTTCAAGCTCGCTCCGCGTAACTGGTAGATACTTGCCAACCTATTAGCACCCATAGACTGAAAAACGCTCTATAATTACAGAGGCATTTGGTAAGTTAGCCGACTTATTTCTTCTCTTTGAAACTAGCTTCATAGGCGGAACGCATGGCTTGGCATACGACGCACGGATGGATATACGTATTATGTTTTCGTTTGTTAATATGTTATTTTTTAATATACTAATATAACATGATATATATATATACATGACGCTTGTTAAGCGTTACTACGCTGATACGTTCTTGTATACGTTCAGCGTCATTATCAAGTAAGTATTATCAAGTGTTACGTCATTACACGTTATTATAAACGGCAAAAAAAATGAATGTATTAACTAATAGCATTGAACGACTCTCTGGTGTACCGTCTAGTGTACGCTTTTTATATTGGTCGTAATATATATATATATATATATTGATTGGGTCGTCTGCTGATTATGCATATCCAGTAGAAACAAGAACGTAGGAGTTCTTTAGAAACAAAAATGAGTTTTGTAGTCGATTTGCACAGTGTAGAGATGTAAAACGGGATGTCCAAATGGAGAGTTGTGGAACAACTGGCAAATCTAGATGATTTTTCGAATTCGTATCAACCCAAAACCCATTTTATTGCAAATTCTGTCATCGGTGGATTTTGGTGTGCCATCACCATAATTTGTCTGTCTGCCAGAGAAAAGCAGAGTAGCAGCTGTTACGGGGGCTTTAATATCTTCGTCTGAAAGATAAAAAAAAAAAAAAAGCTCACCTTAAACTATCCAATATGCATAGAGAAGCTCTAGCTTATTGG